ATAGTGGAAGTCAGTTGTGCTAGGAGGCATGTCACACTCCTATTGGTAGTGGGTTGTTGCATGCTTAGTTGCAGCTATACTACGTGGAAAACACGTGGAGGTAGGTGGGAGCATAAATGCTCATTTGTGGAGATTTTAATGCTCACAACCCTTTATGGGGTGGAACAAAATTTGACTGTCGAGATCAAATTCTCGGAGATCTAGTTATGGAATCTGATAAAAAAGGTGTTAAATGTATTGTCTGGGTTAATCTATCTGCTCAGGATCTAACAATTGTAGATAGTAAACTTGCTAGTATTGCTACCTGGGATGTTATAGATGATGACCTGGGAAGTGATCATCTCCCAGTAATTACATCTGTTAAAGTTCCTTTTGAAGTTAAGAGTCCGACGACCTTCTGGAACTTTAGCAAAGCAAACTGTTTCAACTTCCGTACATTCCTCGAATCTTCCATTCAAAACATAGACATGTTTTTTTCTGTTGAATCTGTATATCCCCGTCTAGTAAATATTATTTAGGAAGGAGCAGAGAAATTTATCCCACAATCAACTACAGATGGTGGCAAACATCAAATCCCTTATTGGAATATGGAATGTGAGAAAGTAGTTAAACTAAAAACAAGAGTAGGAAGAAAGCTTTTAAAACACGTCTCTTAGATGATTATATTGAATATAAAAAGCAGAAGGTCATTTGTCAACGAACAATTCGAGCACTCCAACAACAATTCTGGTGTGAGTACTGCTCTCGTTTAAACCATTCATCAGACTTAAGTAAAATATGGAAATTCGTGAAGCGTTTGAAGGGTGGGGTTCTATCCCTATTCCTACACTTAAAACTCCTGGATCAGCATATTTGACGGATGTTGAAAAGGCGAATGCGCTGGCTGATCAATTTGCCCACATCAGCAGTTCTGGCAATTATTCAACCGAATTTTCGAAATATAAGAAATTATTTGAACATGACAATTCCACCACTATTACTAAGAAGCCAAATAATAGTAATGCGTTGAATGCTAAATTCAATATCAGTAAAATGAAACAAGCAATAAAGACGTCTAAAAACTCAGCTCCTGGTGACGATAGAATGCTTTATAAAATCTATAAAAATCTTTCTCTAAATTTTTTGGTAAAACTGCTGGAATTTTTCAATAAGATATGGAATGAAGGAACCCTCCCTTCAGCCTGGAAGCACGCAACAGTTTGCCCACTCCCTAAGGCAGATAAGGATCCAAGCTCTGTTACATCGTATCGACCAATTGCTCTTACTTCTACTATGTGTAAAATTATAGAACGAATGATTGCTAACCGTTTGCATTGGTATTGTGAAAAACATAAGACTTTTCGACAAGTTTCAGTCTGGTTTCCATTGGAAGAAGTCTATGCTTGATCATCTGTTATGGCTACATGAAGATGTCAACAAATCATTGTGCAACAGAGGTAAAGCAGTGTCTGTGTTCTTGGATATTGAAAGAGCATACGATATGGTCTGGAAAGTACGATTGTCATATAAGCTCAACAGTTACAGTTTTGATGGCCAACTCTTCAACTGGATTAAATAATTTCTTTCAAACAGATCCTTTAAGGTCAGAGTCAATGGAGTCGTCTCTTGGGAAAGAGTCTCAGAAAATGGCACTCCCCAGGGTAGTGTTATTAGCCCTATTTTGTTCCTTCTCACGATTAATGACGTTAGTTCTTCCTTTATTAGTAATGGCACGAATTATAGTATTTTTGCTGATGATTTAGCCCTCTGGAAACCTGGTCGTAATATTAATCATATCCAAACCTGTCTTCAAACAAATCTGGATAATTTAGCCAATTGGTTTTTAAATGGGGCTTTACGGTTTCAGCCCGAAAGTCTGTAGTTCTCCCTTTTCTCGTACTTCAAACACAGTGAAATTATTTTTAATAACCACCAACTAGCCTCCGTCATCCAATACAAATTTGTGCTAAACGACTCAATTTGCTTAAATGTGTGTTGGGCACACATTGGAGAGCGTCCAAAAAACTATTACTTGTGTATAAAACCTTAATACGATCCGTTATTGACTATGGCAGTATAATCTATGATTCTGCGAGTTACTCAGTCTTTAAACAACTGGACGTTATTCAAAATCGATGCTTGCGATTATGTTGTGGAACATTGAAACACACCCCTATATCAGCCATGGAAGTAGACTGTGGCGTCCTACCCCTTGACTTACAGAGACGGAACATGCAACTCAAATTTATAGCAAAGTCTTTGTACAATGATTATCCCGTTAATTTCTTTCAAAAGGATTGGAGAGATTATTGCGGAACCTTTCAATGAAATAACTCACCAATGACAGTTAAAATTGCAGACTTTTTCTCGTCCGTAAACCTCATCCATTGGTAAATACTAATATTTTCCCTTTCCTCCTTGGGAAATTCCAACCCCTGATGTCGACGTCACTCTACATTATGTTGGAAAAAAATGGGAGCAAAGTTACTTGCTTTTTTCCTTGGCTAAGGAAAACTAACAGGCTTCTCTGACTATACATGTATATTTACGGATGGCTCCAAGTCTACCAGTTTTAATTCCTCGCCATTTTATATCAAAAATCTCAACATCAGAAAAGCATTAAAACTGCACCTGCATCTGTATATAAGGCTGAACTGTTTGCTATCCCACTAGCACTTCTATGGATGCGTTAACATATCCTGGGGTCAAAAACGTTTCTGTTGAAATTGGTGACCTCTATGGCCAAGTCGATAAATTCATTTTAGATTCTTGGCAGTACAGATGGAATTCAGTGAAACAATCAAATATATAGAAGAAAATTGTTCCTGTTGTTTCTTCTCACATCAAGTATGCATGTACGAATAGACGCCAAGAAGATATTATAACACGCCTCCGTTTTAATTGCACAGGTCTAAATGGACATCTCTACAAAATTAAAGCACATCCCAATGGTGAATGCAGCCATTGCTCAAATTTTGAAGATCCGGAACACATTATCATGGATTGCATATATTACCAAAGAGATTGGGCAGCCAAAAAACAACAGATGTGTAACGTTAAAGTCCCTCTTCCTACCTCTCTGTTAACTACTGATTGTCTCTATACAGCGATTTATAACTTCGTAATAACTAAAGACCTAAAAATTTAATGTCCCTTTCTTTTTGCTAATAGGGCTATTTCTTTTTACCTTTGTTTCAAATGGCTGGAGTCGCCCACAGTCGAGAAGAACTAACTACGTAACCCTTTTTTAATAATCATATCTTTTACAACTAATTGTATGTGTTGAGTAT